GTTGACTCTTCACATTGTTAAAATAAAAGCCACTGTCAGAAGTGTTTTGGCTTCCGACAAGCTGTCAAACTCAAACATGTTTCGTATTTAGTGATGCACCTCTATAACACTGTTGGACTCTTCATTCCATGTCTCAAGCTTCAAGTTACAGCGAACAGTTACTTCTGGTGGTGCTTCATATTTTTTGTACAGAAATAGTGCAGAACAGAACTGTACTGTATATTACGTAATGCTGCATATGGTTTGAAAGGGTACAGAACGTTTTCCATTTCTCCCCTACATCATAGTAAATCATACATGTAAGAGGACAGAAATCCACTAACTGCACTCTGCATCGTCATGATGGCTTAAATGCTGACACACGCTTTCTAATCTGACCCGAAACCCTCCCTCATCAGCGTGCGTGCGTCCCTCATCTAGAGTCCATTTCAAACAGCAGGGGGCCGCGAGGCGGGAAGCACTGGCAGAAAAGGTTGCTTGCCCTTATTTTTTTTAAAACAGTCACAACCGCAGCCCTCTTTTATGAGGGATTACAGCTGCTATCCATGCTATTGAAACATTTAAAACCTTGCAAAGCTTTTAGACCTCATTATTATATGCATGATTTTCCCAAACCTGCTCCAGCTGATTATCCTACATGTTATAACCGGTGCCAGCTGATTTGTCTCTCCCTTCCAGCTGTTTGTGCAGCAGGGTTACAAGCTATTTCCAGAATAATAGCGGATGTTAATTTGTAAGGCTTTATTGGGAGGAATTGCCAAAACAGGCCAGGCAACAAGGCATGGCCCCTCTTTTGGCTTTCAGCAGACATTATATAATCGTTAGCCAGGGCTCAACTTCATGTTTCTCTCTTTCTAAATCAGGTGTTAATATATAACATGCAAAGGAAAACTGCAGAGAAAAGGAAAGAATGACAGTGGAATACCTGGCATAGTCAAAAGCTGAATAAGATTTTTGTCATCTCCATATTTCATTTAATACATCCCTTTTGGCAGTTTGAGATCTGTGTGATTCTGTTTCTTCCTGTTCCCTAAATAATGCAGGTGCACAATGTATTTTTAGCATCATTCTACCTGATGTGCAATACGAAAGCCTCCCTATTGTCCCCCTTTCCTTCCCTCTCATTCACACCTCCATTATCTTCCACTCTGCTTTGTGTCTGGGGGTCCGAGGAGAAAGATCCTTCTGTTTCTGAATGAAAGCTTCTCTCTGTCCAGAACAACATTGTTAGGACAAGGCAGACAGAGAGCAGCAGTTAATGCACTTTGTCAGCACTGGCAGGCTTCTGAGCCAAGAGCTATTAACTCTGAGAGGGAAAGGCATTTCCTCCTTGTAAATGCCATATTAAATTATTATTATTTTATTTGGTAACAGAGAAAAGCCCATCAGGGCTATATTGCTCAAGGTGAGTAGGGAATTTTTAATGGAGAGTCTGCGTTTTTCCAAAGGCCACCAACAGAGGGTGGGTTTTGGGGGGTAAGGGAGTTGAAAGAGGAAGTGAATATTTGCGTCATGGTAACTTGATGTGGCCACTCAGTCAACTAGAGTATCACACCTTTAAATAAGGTTTTATACATTCTTTAAGTGATAATATACATAATATATTTCCACCTAATCTCTTACTAAACTTGTACACACGCTGCATCATGCCACCATCTTTGCACCCATTTTCTATTAGAGAGGCTCCAGGGGGCTAGGGCTTCTGCCAAACAAAAATGTGAATGAACAGTGCGGCAGAGCCAATGGGGGTGAGGCCTCCAAGACTGCCTGGCTGTTGCTGCAGGTTGATCAGACCCAGAGGGCCTGTGGTTTGGCCCCGCTGGACGAGCCTCTGTGTAAAAGATACCTGGGCCAAAATGGCTGAGCGTGATTTTCTCAACGTTTGGGTGACTGCGGCCCATTTTTTACAGGGAAGCAGCTGCCAAAAAAGTGTCCATAGTGTGCAATGTGATACACTGTAACTATACGCAGAAGAAATCCATATCATTAAGGCTGTTCATACATCAGAGGAATCAGACCCGACCTAGCCATTATCACTGCTTTATTACAAGCATAGGGTTTGGCCACTAGCCACAATTAGTTTGATTAAATCTGCTAACCCTGATAAAGCAATGTAGAAGTAAAGAAAATGATCTTAAGTTGATCTCTAAAACCCCTTAGTAACTGTTGCTATGTTTGTTAAACTTTCTGTCATAATGAGATTTACCACCGAAATGTCTTAGTACATTTATGGCGCATTTCCACTACAGGGCCTCGCTCGGCCTCGCTCTGTATGGCTAGGCCTCGTTAGGCCTTGTTAGGACTGGCTCACTTTATGCTGCGTTTCCATTACAATTTAGTAGCTGGGGCAGTAACTATAGTAACGCAGTGTAGGCGGAGCCGTGACGTCATCTTCAATGAGAACCACAGAAAAACAACATCAGCCGTTAGCTGTTAGCACTCAAGCTCACAGCTCCTCATATCTGTTCAGAAACTAGACAAAAGTTAAACAAGTACAATTTGTACTTGTTTAACTTTGACATGACACAGACAGTCTGTGGTTTGTACTGTACAAACCNAAAGTCTGAGAGGGTGAGGCAGATAGTCACAGAAAACAGAACAAGAATCAACAACTCTACCCTCTGCTCACTCCTTTCCTATAATACAGGTCCAGCCCACACATATGCTCCATCAAGACAGTGCACTTACAACTACAATAAGCATGTTAATGTTAACGTAAAACAGCTCCGGCGAACCACTAGCACAC